TCTTAAATTAAGAATAAATTCATGATATTTTAGAGTTTGCTTTAGAGTTTTCGTGGACTTGATGCCCGGAAAAAAGATGCAACTTGTTGAGTTAAATATTTTAAATTTTCTCAATTTATTGCATATGATAGAGCGGGTATTACATATGGATGACTTATTAGTTCTATGAATAAATAAAAGATGGAGACAACAAATTATAGCAACAAATCAGATAAATTGCATAATCCAGCCAGTTAGCACCAATTAAGGGAATTTCATAGGGGAAGACAGGTTAGAAGTCATTTTAAATTGCACAATCATTGCATGTGTACAGGAGATTTCTTAAACTTTGGTCCAGCAATGTACATAATACATTATACATGTGAAAACCAAACTAATCCATTCACTTTTCATAGAAAATTCAAAGCTATGACCTTTTCATGATTGGTACGATGGAATGAAATTTAGTAGGAATGGAATGAATTGAAGAAGAGAATGATTATGGGAATGGAATGAAATATGTTTTGGCATTGATGCAGTTGGTATGCGGAATGAATAGGGCTGGAATAGAATGATATTATTATTTTTTATTATAAAAAAAAATAATTTATTTTTAAAAATATAATATACTTTTAATAAATTATAAATGTTTTTTTAATAATATATAAAAATAAAATAAAATATTTTTAATAATATATTTTGAATAATATATAAAAATAGAATAATATATTGTTTAATAATATAAAAATAATATATTTTTAATAATATATAAAAATAAATAATATATTTTTAAATTTTATATAAAAAATAAAATATTCTTAAAAGTAATATATTTTTGATATATAAAAAATAATATATTTTTAATAATATTTAAAAATAAAAAGTAATATATATTTAATAATATATATTTTATTTTTTAATTAAACAGTAAATAAAAGTAAGTTTTCAATTTTTTATGTGAATTTTATTTTTTAAAGTAATATATTTTTAATAATATATATTTTTAATATTTTTCAATAATATATTTTTAAAAGTAATATATTTTTAATATATAAAAAATAATATATTTTTAATAATATATAAAAATAAAATAATATATTTTTTAATTATATATAAATGCTTTTTTTAGTTTTATTTTATATAAGTATTTAATATATCTCATTAAAAAATAAATAAAAGTAAGTTCTTAATTTTTTTATTTGAATTTTTAAAAAATAATTTTATTTAATATATTTTAATCATGATTTATATTATATATTATATATTTATTTTTTATTATTATTTGCTAATTTTATTTTTTGAAAAATTGATTCCTACACACATGAGAATAAGAAAACCTTCCATTTACTATGGAATGACTAATCCCATGGAGATGGGTTTTGTCATTCCCATTGGAATGGTCATTCCTTCCCAAAAAATATACCAATCATAGGAATAGGAATGGGGAAGAGAATGATCATTCTATTTCCATGTCATTTCTTCATACCAATCATGCCAATAGTACCTTTTTTATTTTTATTTTTTCAAACATAAAACAAACTTTCATTAAACTCATGAAAATGTACAACACACGTGCATCAACTGAGTACAACTCGAACACATAACACAATGCTATGAGAACACATTGAAAGTTGGTGCATGAAGTAGTCATAAGATGCATGAACGAGTCATAAGATATGTTCTCATGACCGTTTGGAGAATAAATCAATAAATTGAGTTTTATCTTTCGAAGTACAAAATTTTCAGAGCCTGTGTAGTAATTTAACGTGCTCCATATTTCTATATATGACATTTCATAATTTTAAATGTCAATATATGATGCTTTAGGAGTAGCTCATATAAATCTGGTATTCCATCAAATACATGTTAGGATTGTTAAATTTATAAAATACTTTAGTAACTCAAATTACAATGTCAATATATGATGCTTAGGAGTAGCTCATGTAAATCTGGTATTCCATCAATACTTGTTAGGATTGTCAAATTTATAAAACACTTTAGTAACTCAAATTACAAGTATACTTTAAAAGTTGATAATTTTAGTATCTGTTACTAGTTTTCTATATATGATATATCAAATTAATCAATATCTCTATACTAGCTTTGATTTGACATCCATATTGCATAATTAAAATAAATAATTATATTCATCTTTGTAGTTACTATGAATATATATTAATATTGATTAAAAGATAAAAATAACTATAAAACCATATTATGGTTAGAAAATTTATTATAATACCTAAAAGAAAAATACAATAGGTACATGTGACATAAAATAAATGCATAGATTTCAATTTTAGTCCAAACATAAATAAATAATGTGTACTACGGCGCAAAATAAATGTATAGGTTTCAATTTTAGCCAAATATAAATCATTTGTATGCAACATATCAAGATTTTGCCCGTGACAAGGACAGTGCATGAACAAAATAACATGAAATGCAAATCTAGGAATCATAAATTTAGGAAATCTTTTGACAAATTGATTTGAAAAAGTAAATACTCCATAAATTTTGACCGGAAAAAATGATATAACAGTTTTATTTGTATTTAAAAACAAATTTATATGGTATTTTTTTTTTTATATTGATTGACTAAAAGGAAGGCTTGCTTTTTCTTATATATTATACAGCTGCAAATTGGTCAAAAGAACACGGACAGCTCAACTAAAGGCTACACTAAAATAAATTCTCATCCTCATTACATTTCAAGGATTTATCGGAAAAATATTCGCAACTGAAAACCACGCGCTTTCCCTTGCCTTCATCAGTCTTCACACCTGGCTCTGCAATTCACTATCGAGATTACAAAACGCCTTCGCTTGATAGCATTACTGTTTCTCAAGCATCATCATCTTGAACTGTAAAAGGTGAGACGCTTTGTCAGAATTTATGTCAGATCTTGGAGATTATTCTTATTTTTTTTCTTCGTCTTTATCTGCTTCTTGTGTCTGAAGGGTGCTCAATTTCTGAGAGGCTTTGACGTTTTTTATGTAAAAGTTGAATTTTTTATTCATCCCATTTAATTATTTTCTTGTATCTGAATCTCGCAATTCTTACACGAAGCGCTTTTGTATGCTTTTTCGGAATTGGGTTTTGACTGTTTTCCATGTCTGGAAACCTGGTGAGGTTGCTTGTGTTTTCTGTGAGATTGGATCTTTAGAGCTTCATGGGTTCTCTTTGATTTGCGCTGCAAAATGATGAGATCGCATAGATTATAGCTTTTGAGTGATTATTAAGTTACTTCAATTTCATTTGATGGGTTGTAGTGATTTTTTTGCTTAACTTGTATTTTACTTAATTATCTTTATTTTCCATTAGCAGAAAGAGGATGTAATTTTCCTCTAAGATGTTCAAGTTGAATGGTTGTGGTAGTTCTATAGGTAAAAGGTCCCAACTTTGATTCTTCAGGCTGCAGTGGTTGACTGACTCAGTCCCACAAGGGTAAAGGGTAGGCTACTCCAATATTAGATTACCTAATGGTCTTAACACTTTTGGTTGACTTGGGGAATTTTCCAAGATAGAGTGTTGGTGAACAAAGAGTTTCAAAATTCGACCATATTTCTCTTGTAGATAAGAATCAAAGTTGTTATATCGTATATTGTAAATTAGATTTGTTTTTGGCGGTTGAGGTGAAGGACAGTAAAATGCAAGATTATCTTTTTTCTTTCCTTTTCGTGACAAAAAATATGCGTATATGGTCGTCAGTTCGTGGGCTTTTGCATTTGTTTCCATTTTTTTATGCATGATATGTAGCTCTCTGTTTGTTCACTGTGTTACTCGTTGCACGTTACCAACATGGATTGGATACAACAATTGAATATGTTCTCTACTCAAGAGCAATGAACACACTGACGTTGCTTCCATAATATTTTTGCCTTTTTTGTGTCTATAATCAGCATGAGAAGGCCTTACGAATACTGCAACTAGTCTCGACCAATTTATTACACTGGCGCCTCTTTTTAATAAACTTTGCTCCATAAAAAATTATTTAGCTTGTTTTGGTAATCTGTGTAATATGACCTCTTATGATCCTTGACATGTGATTGTTTTCTGATTGCTTTTCTACTTTAGATAAATTTTTGGGCAGCACATCATGAGTTGTTTCGGTTGTTGTGAGGAGGATGACATGCACAAAGCTGCTGGTAATGGGCCGTACACTACAACTAACGCTGCAGGTTAGGTTTCAAATCTCAAATTCAAGGTTTGATTATAACAAAACTGTTTCCAATTTACTTCCTGACCTACTGAATTGATGAGAGAATATCTACCAAATCTGAATTATAGAAGCTGACAAAATATGAATAGATAGAAGCCCTTAACTACTTCATAAATCAAATACAGAAAGTTAGTCAAGATTACATGTTTTATTTATTTGTTAATTGTTAAATTGAATGAGCTGTTAATTCATACAACAATGATCCAACATTCTTTATGCCTTTCTTTTATTGTTATCAAACTGAGAAAAAAAAAAAATCTTCTGTAGGTAATCATGCAGGCTATCACGCAAAAGAAACAGAACATAAGGAGAAACAGACTATCAGCATGCAACCGATTGCTGTGCCTGCCATTCCAGTAGACGAGCTGAAGGACATTACTGATAATTTCGGTTCAAATTCGTTAATTGGCGAAGGGTCCTATGGAAGGGTTTACCATGGAGTCTTGAAAAGTGGGCTTGCAGCTGCAGTTAAAAAGCTCGACTCCAGCAAGCAGCCAGACCAAGAATTTCTAGCACAGGTTTTTGGCCGTTGCACATAAATAAAATATGCTTGTTGGCATCAGCTTCTGGATGAGTTTTCACAAAGACATTTATATTGTTTGTTATTGTGGTTTTTCAGGTTTCGATGGTATCAAGACTAAAGCATGAGAATGTGGTTGGGCTGCTTGGTTACTGTGTCGATGGTGGGCTTCGTGTCCTCGCATACGAGTATGCTCCTAATGGGTCTCTACATGACATCCTTCATGGTGAGTCGGGCTTAATTATTCTACAAAATCTAATTTGATATTTTTATCTTTATATATATATATAATTGTAGGCTATCAATTTCATGTTATTTTCTCGCTTTTTTTATCGTTTATTTATGGAAACTGACCGTTATATTTTGGATTTATTAAGTGTAATAATATTTTTTTATCTTATTTATCATATAATAATTAGTACCAAGATTAAGTTATTATAGATTCGCACAAAAACTTTAGGAAAGTTATACGCGCATACAAATTTTTATACCAAAACTTTTTCTTCAAGTTATTTATTTTAAAATTAGCATTTTATTTTATTTTATTTTTATCTCATTAAGCTTGTTTTAATAACTAATTGGTTTTAGTGGCATAGCAAAGTAAACTTCTTAAAATTATATAAATAATTTCTATAGTAATAGTGATTTAATATTTTTTTTTTCAATTAGTTAATTGGTCATGATCTTTTAAATTTGTAAAGATTATGCTATTCATTATATTTTACGCTATATATTTGTTCATATATAAGTAAAATAGCATAAATATATTGTTCGTTTTTGCTAATGATCAAATTTATAAAATGTGATATGTACACATATATTTTATGATTACAACAACAACAACATAGCCTTTAGTCCCAAGCAAGTCGGGGTAGGCTAGAGATGAAACCCAAGAGAAACACATATATTTTATGATTATAAATACAATATTCATACATATAACTTATTTTATATGTACATATGTGCATATACACAAGATTAACTACTAGTTTTCATAAGTTAACAACATTTAATGATGGCTGCAAATGAATCAACGGATGATATGAAGTCTGAAAAGGCAATGTCTACGTTAGCTTGGGCAAAAGGCGTAAATTACCCTGTTTCATTCACAATACATGTGCCACAAAACACAACTTTTTCATTCACAATACATGTGCCACAATACACAACTTTCATTGAATCCATGAGCTGTAGCTTCCTGTTGTTTATCACATTTCAGTTATTATTAATCCGTTTAGTGGGAAACTAATTTTAGCTGTTAATAACTTAATATTAGGACGTAAAGGAGTCAAAGGTGCACAACCGGGTCCCATTTTGTCATGGTCTCAAAGAGTTAAAATTGCTGTTGGGGCTGCTAGAGGACTCGAATACTTGCATGAGAAGGCACAGCCACATATCATTCACCGTGACATCAAATCGAGCAATGTTTTACTCTTTGATGATGATGTGGCTAAGATTGCCGATTTTGATTTGTCCAATCAAGCTCCTGACATGGCAGCTCGTCTTCATTCCACTCGTGTTCTTGGGACTTTTGGTTATCATGCCCCTGAGTAATGCTCTTTTTCTCCCCTTTCTTTTTTCTGCATTTAACAAATTAGCGAGAAATAATCAACCGAATGTTTAAAAATTTTAGGCTGTGATTGGATATCAACCCATCCCCAAAAAAACTAATCAAAACTCAAATTTAACTCAACTTTAACTCAGTATTATCAATATAATTAAATAACATCAATCAATCATTCTTACACATCACATCAACTTTAATTAACTATTCATCCACTCACACGTAATTTTAACTACATATCACTTCTAATCACTTTTCTCCTACTTTTACATTAAATCAAACTTTAATCATTTTATTTTAAATATTATTTTAATACAAACTCAAAATCTCACTAAAACCTAACCCAACCACTTTTTCAAAATAAAGTTAACAAAAAACCATTCAAGAACAAATCAAATCCATATCCAATCGCCTATTTTGATGCCAGATATGCAATGACCGGCCAGCTAAGCTCAAAGAGTGATGTGTATAGCTTTGGAGTCGTACTTCTTGAACTGTTGACCGGCCGTAAGCCAGTTGACCATACACTTCCTAGGGGACAACAGAGTCTTGTGACATGGGTAACGGACGCCGTTTTCTTTAACTCCTTTTTTCATCTTTAATCTTTTTCTTTTTCTTTTGTTCATTTAATATATTGTTTTCTGAATATATCGAAATTTTGGTGCTTAAATTCCATTTGCATGTAAAATCAGGCCACCCCAAAGCTTAGCGAAGACAAGGTAAAGCAGTGTGTTGATGCTAGGCTCGATGGAGAATACCCTCCCAAGGCAGTTGCTAAGGTAAAACCCAAGTTACGCTAAATTCTTGCATCGAAAAAAATAAAATGACGATAAATAAATAATCCTTGTTATTCAACCGAAAATGGAAACTAAAGGCAAACAAAGTGCATTATTATTGCTCGTTTGACAAATCTCATTCTTGCCCGTGAGTATTATTAACTTCAATTTGCTTCAAAAAATATTACAGATGGCTGCAGTTGCTGCTTTGTGTGTGCAATACGAAGCCGAATTTCGGCCAAACATGAGCATTGTAGTAAAAGCTCTACAGCCTCTGTTGAATACTCGATCAGGACCTCCTACCGAAACACACAACTTGTGATTTCTCTTTACTATATCGTTAAACCTGAAATTTGTTTCGGCGAAATTCGTGTGGTTTTTAGAGTTTGTATTTTTGGTGGTTTTGTGGTTATTTATTCCCACCAATGTGGTGTTGGAGATATTTATGAACAACTGTTGGAACTTATGATGCAAAGTAGTAGAACACTATTGAGTGTAAAGATTCTGCTGCTATTGAGCATTCTTTTGTGAAAAAAGATGAGCCTTGTTGGATCTATGTAGAAATTATTTTTGAATTGCCTGTGTGAAGTGTTTTTTTCTTACCAAATAGAATTTCATTTTTCAGCATTATTTCAGTTTTTCAGCATTATAAAGGATATTTTTTAAGTAGATTTACTATTGAANTGCTTGTTTTAAAATTATTCTTAAATTTTAAAATTAATGAGAAAATATTTAAAATTTATTTATTTATTTACAAAAAATATATATTATTATATATTTTAGAATGACACTTGTTACTTGTGTCACTTACATGTGTTATATTATAGTAATTTTTATAACTTATATCATATAACTACTTGTAATATAAATATATTAATTGATAAATAATTTTAAAAATAATTTCATTATTGTTATAAAGGTAAATATAATTTTTTTTTATACATACAATATGGATGTTAAATCGAAATTCATCAATAGATGATTAATTTGAGATATTATATATGTAAAACTGATAAAAAATACAAAAGTTATACTTTTAAAATACATTTACAATTCAATTGTTATAATAAGAAATGATATTAAAATACAATTAATACATATAACATGACCATAAATAATCAACATATTTATGAATAAACCGAACTTAATTATTTCTGGATCAGGACTAGCCTGAACCCAACTTCCCTTGGATTATCACATAACAACAAGGGAACAGCCTACAACCAAAACACTTCCAAAACAGAAGACAAAAAACTACCAACACAGGAGACACGCAACCCCGGCTACAGCCGGACGAACGAAACACAACAAAAATAAAAACAACACATACCTAATAAAGAAAATATAGCCTCTCCTACTTTTATTAGAGGGCCTCCGACAACAGCTAATTGTCCAAACATACGCGCCAGTCTTCAGATCAAAAGACTAAAAAGGAACAACAGATCTACAGCTGGCAAATCCGTACACTCCGATCACTCGAATGGCTATGCAGATCTGGCGCGCTCAGATCTAAAATCCCAAAAGCCCCTAACCTAGGGGTGGACACGTTCCGGGATTTGACCTATCCCAATATCTGTCCCGATTTTTTGAACCGGTCCAGGACGAAACACCGTCCCAAACGAATCGGTATAAATCGGGACCTGGACAAAACGGATTAAAAAAAATGTTGAAACTTCAATCTGATTCACTA